ACCTAAAAGACCGACCGACGTTGTCTAATGGCAAACAAAGTGATGGCAGCAGACAGCTCAGCATGGACAGGAGAGTGTATTTCAGCTGCTACATGATGGTACACTGACAGTCCCCATCTGCACTACAGCTGAACCCTTAAAAATACTCCTCAAATTACCATCCTCTCCTCCGTCTGAGGCAGCCTATTACTTTCGAAGCAGAGGAAATCTTTTGTGTTTTGTGTTTCAGGATTGCTGAATGTCAGCCCATCTCATCTTCTTCCGAGAGAATGGGGCGTTTTTTTTCGAATCTCTCCCCACTTTCTTTTCGATCCTCTGGTCTCCTAATAATTCTTTTGTTCTCTCACACATGCGCACAAACTTTTTTTTTCATTAACTTTCCATTAGTGCATATGGCCTTTTGCTTGTGTGTCAGACCTTTCTTCGCTTTGTGTTTCTCTTCCAAGTGTGTTGCATTGAATTTTGTTTGCTCATGTCTCGGTATGTGTTGCCTTGTGCTTGTTGATTTATTTTTGGCATATAGCATCTTTTTTAAATCAGTGACGAAACAATAATGACATCTATGGACTGCAATTGCAGTCCTGTAAATGTCAAATGGCATTTATTATTTTCTTTGACTTGTTTTTGCGGTTTGAGAGAAGTTCTGCTGAGAAGAAGCTGCGGTGTGGATGAAAAAGGAAGACAGAGAGACACACTGCTGATGGTATCTTTATGTCATTAAGATACTGTAAGACAAAGTTGCCACCATGATTACTCACTATCTCAATGTAATATATTGTCATGAAACCACTTAAACGTTATGTTTTAGTTTTTCATCACAATATATTCTATTACAACACATTCTATGTTACCATAAATACCCCGGCTACAATATCAGCCAACATGGTGGTGCTCGTGTTGTATTTGATCGCTTAAAATGTAAAATTAAACATCAATATCTACCTGGAAAAGAAAAATGCTGCATGCACATGGCAAAGGGCCACAAGACCACAGCATTACATTTTTTTTCCACGATATAAAGCTGATGTTGCAGACATGTTACAATTGTACATTTGGAGTCGTGTTTCTGCCCACCAGACGAATGCAACTCCAATATTCACTCTCCTTTTAGCTCTGGTTTGGTCTCCACCAACTCTTTGGGGATGTATCTTTCTCTTTAGCTGCTGAATGCCACACTAGCTGGTCGCGAATGCAGGAGCGCTTTCCAGTGACACATTTGTGACATACCATGGATGAAGGCGACATGTAGAAGTGTGCCTGAACAATAACAATTCAAGATATTCGATTAAGTAGAAAACTCGTCACTATCAGGTGCTGAACAGAAAGCTTCCAGTCCAGCCTTCATTCTCTCTGTTGACTCCTACTCAGATATCAAATTAACTACATAGCTGCCATGAAAACATCTGCAAGGTTATTAGCATTTTAGTCAAAGACCAAGAGATTGTAGCCTTTGTGTATTCTCTGCATGAATATTGATCCCTGCGGTCGTCTGAACTACGAGCTGCTGGAGAGGAGCATGGTTACGACAGAGCCCGGAGCTATCAATACATTTTTACAGTTCTTTTCTATCACACACCTTTTTTTATTGTGATTAAAGCAGAGCAGCAACGAAGCAACCTTTCAAGTAAGATCTGTATGAAAAGGGATTAGAATCGACAGCAGATACTCTTGAATACATGGCTGTGCGACAAATGTAGCGTAGTGGGACCCCATCACCCGCCGGCTGCGGATGTAAACACATTAGCTTGGGAGCATTTGAGAAAAAGTGATGTGAGCGGACGAGGAGAAGACATTGCAACTGCTTCCCTAATGGGGGGGATGGAGACTTCATTCTGCATCACAGTGAGAGAACACAGAGAGTGGGAACAAGACGATGTTATTACCTGCAGCTTTTCATGGCAAACTTTAAAATGAGCTCCAGTCGTCAGGTACCACAAAGACAGACAAATTGATTTTACATACATCAGATATTCCTGTTCGTTCCCTTTTCTTTGTTTTGTTGTTGTTATGTTTCGCAGCTAACATTTGTGTGTTTATTAGGTCTGGGGCTGCAGCAGCCGTATCTGTTTCACACACTGCCAAAGTTAGTGTTGTCTTCTCTTTTTAACTCTGAAACTCTTTTATTTTGTGGCATCTTCCTGTTGTAGTGCACATCTCTTACACTTGTTTTGGCCACACTGCCACATACACAGCTGTTGAAGCCAGTTTGGGAAGTTCAAAATGAGCCTTTTGATAGTTTCAATTATGTTGCAATCATCTTTTCTTTTCTTTTCACTTTTCTCTAATCTGTAATCTCAGCTGCATGCTGATTAATTGCCATTTGCAAGTCTCTCATGCCTTCTGCCCTTTTGGCTGCTAGCTGACTATCATCAGTGCCTGCTGTCTCCTCCGCTCCTCTTCCTCCACTTCCTTCTCCTCTTCTTCTCCTCCTCCTCCTTTTCTTCTCCCCCCATAACCATTTGTTAAAGTTTGTCCGCGCGGTTTTCTGTTGTAGCGACACTGCATTTTTCTTCATGGTGTTTGAATCTTTTCACGGTCTTGCTCCCTGAGTATATAATCCGCTCACTACATGTGTTCTGGCACAACCCACAGACGCTCCGATTCAATTTTATACCACACCTAACTACCAGCTCAAAGAATTCCTGCAGCCCGAAGCTCTTAAACAACCTCCCTGAAAATCGGAGGCCTGTGGAAACCATGTGTTGCAAGACATCTGTAGTGATTTCCCTCTTAATGGAGCTCATGGTGACGCAGAGACGGAGACGTCAAGTGGCTCTGTAGGTTTGAGCAGCCCACTGAAATGTACACATATACTAACTGGAACGAGTCGGACCATTTGTTGACAGTGCTGTACAGTACAGTAGGCTTTATATAAGGCCGTCACATACTAAGTCTGTCTTTGTTGCATAACAGCACTGTGGGACGGAAGATGTTGCAGGAGAGGATGAATGAACACAAATCTCTCCCTGAATCCAACATGACAGGGTGAAATCTGTGATGCTCCCTGTACGCTTTAATGGAGGGACGCTACGAGTCCCTCCATCATAGAAGTAAGAGTGGAAACATAACAAGAGTGACCCACGAAATGACTTGGAAAAAGTGATGGGGACTAAGACCAGATACGTGCCATTCAGGTCCCAAACAATAACTTAGATCGACCCATGAGAGTCCAATACCTATATCTTTTCTGCTTTGAGTCGTTGTGTTTTGTGAAATGCCGTTGTGTTTTAAATAAACTGACCACAAATTGGGCAGCTGTGGCTCAGAGTCCTCCAGTCCGCATGTCTAAAGTGTCCTTTGGCAAGATCCGGAACGCCAAACTTCTCCTGAAGGCTGAGCCATCGGTGTGTGAATGTGCGTGAATGTATATTTAGATTAGAGCCTGATAGGCAGGGTTGGCACCTTGCACGGCAACCCCCTGCCATCAGTGTATGAGTGGGTGTTTGTGACTTTGAGTGACCTGGAATACTTGAAAGGCGCTATATAAAAATGCAAGTCTTTACGTTACTGGTAATCTCAGCGGTTACTTTTCTCGCCTGACAACATATTAAAAGTTAATAAAGCGTCATATTAACAGCTTTTAGCTTGGCTCTAAATCTCACTAGACCGGTCTCAAGGCACCCAGACGCGATGCATTGTGGGGCAGTTGATTGTTTTATTCATACATGGTATGAATAGTATGAATAGCACAGAACTATATGATTTCAAACCCAGACATACTGTACGTTGACGAGCTGATGAGCAGCAGGTGAGGAGAACGAGCAGAGCCAGGAGACCACGCCCACACCGGCACACGCAGACAAAACATAAACACAGTCAGAGAGAGGGGGGGGGACTCTGAGAACACTGGGAAGAGGAACCTGAAGGAAACTGAAGAGCCACAGCCGTAGCAGTGTTTTCTCTGTGTACGGAAGAACCAAAATAAATCTGTGTATCAGGCTCTCTGAACTTTCTAGTAAGGTGACAAAACAACCACACCGCCATCATCTCTTAAAGAATAGCCTGAAGGAACCCAGAACCCTCTCTCACCACCTCACATGACTTCAGGGCTGCATAACTTTGTGGCACTCCTGGTCGCCTCGCGCTCCAAAAAAAGGAACATAACTCAAGCCCCACAACCCCTCACTGAAACCGTTCCATAACAGTCAGCGCTATGGTGTAAAACCTCCACCGTCATCTGTCACACGCAGCGCAGTGAGCATCAGCATCGTCCCACACTCCTGGCTCTGGGCCATGCATATTGGATGAGCATGTAACCTACATCCATCCATGCTTCTGTCGGCTGCGGGGGGTTCCTCTGATCAAACAGGTTCGGGGTGTAACGGTGTCCAGGAATGTGCTTTACATGGTGTTGATTCATTCCCTTGTCAAAAGAGATCAATGCCCTGCTGATTGGACTTGGGTTTTTAAACCCAAGGCCTTGAGGGTGGGTTCTTTAAATGGGTGTTCTGAATGTGTTAAGGCTATAATAATAAAGATGTAATGGCGGTTTTATGGAGGTGCGATCAGGGTGGGGTAAATTAATCCATTTAAAATATTTCATAAAAATGGTACAAGATGTGTTTGATTAATGTTACCTGGCAAACCCAATGTTCGCTTTTGGGGTTATTAACCAGCACGGCATTATTAATCAAAGTGTATCCCTGGTTTTATAGAGCTGCTGTAAATGTGTACGGAATTAAAAAAATAAATAAAAAAGAGAAATGGAGAGATAGCAGGTGTATGAGACATTGAGGTCGACAAACTCCCACTGATGAGAGTGAATGGGAGGTGTTAATGTTGGGATTTGCTAAAGCGGCATAAAAGCAGCCAAATGGTGAGGGAAATATAAAGCAGGCCGGCCAAGGAGAAATGTAATCGCTGCGAGGCCGTGAATAATTTTTGCTGCGCACCACATTTAACTGGTGAAGCGGATCAATCCTTAATCACACAGTTTTAGCTTTCTGTCTGACAAAAATAAAAAAAGATGTGTGGTTTCTCTGTCTCTCTTTTTGTCCCAGATTCTGATCGGGGAAGTGACCAGTTTCTTTGTGAAGACAGAGGGAGCTCAGGAGAAGACCATAGTGACCGCCGACTGCTGTTATTTCAACCCTCTCCTCCGCAGGATTGTACGTTTTCTGGGTCAGTTATAGTGCTAAAGATCAGAGGTTCTGCAGCTTGGACTGAATAGAGCCTCTGTGCTCTGGGACCGAGGCTCATTTAGACTTGTACCAGCACTCCTACAACGCCAGAGAGAGAGAGAGAGAGATAGCTTGTCCTTCTTATGTCTCCTGTGGACTCATTTTCCCTCTCTTTATGTTCTGCTGATGATCTTTTTCATCATCTCTGTAGCCTGTATTTATCCAAATTATGAATCTTAGTGATGGACCATAGATATGAAAGCAAAGGCCAGGTCTGTCTGGCATTTCACTCCCACACAGTTAGAAGTCAGCGTAAGCATTTAATCCACATTTAAGTGCTTGTTTCGCACCAGTCTCATTGACTCACTTATTTTGTGTTTACATACGCCCAACCCTCCCTCTTTTCCCACTGCGTCTCTTTTTTGTCCCCGTCACACAGGTGTCTACTCCTTCGGGCTCTTCACCACCACCATCTTTGCCAATGCCGGTCAAGTGGTGACAGGAAACCAGACGCCGCACTTCCTGTCCGCCTGCAGGCCAAACTACACGGCTCTGGGCTGCCAGTCTCCGGTGCACTACATCGCCGAGCGCCGGGCCTGCACAGGAAATCCGTACCTGGTGGCGTCCGCCCGCAAGTCCTTCCCCTCCAAAGACGCGGCGCTCAGCTTTTACTCAGCCATCTACACGGTGGTAGGGAAACTTTAGGCGGGGTGCAATGGGTTGATGGGAGACACACCAGGGGCTGTGACCAAGGGATTTATTAATGGTTGATGAATCGTTTACTGGTGCTTTTATAAATCAGCTAGGAGGAGGGAGAGAGAATAACTTTACAACACACCTTAAATAAAGGCACCAAACACATTTTGTACTTTGCAAATTACCCTTTGCTAAGCCCCACCCCTCAATTGCAGACTGGCCAATCATAGCTTACGCTTCTCTCTGAAATACCTTTTTCCAAAAAAATCAGATATTAATTCAGTCAGAGCGGTAAAGAAAAGGACTACACACTTTCTTACATTTGACACACACATTCAAGAATTTGTAAAAACATAGCTGAAATTGGCAACACAGACATGAACACAAACACACACACACGCACACACATGAAAACACAAACATGACAGTGTGTTTACGACGCTTTCTTTTGTACTCCATGGAACCCTTCAGCTGCTCTGAAATCACTGCGGAGTGCGGCCTCTTGTGGCTCATTCAAGCTTTTCACCGTTGTGAATTGTCTCAGCCGGCTGACTGAAGACTTGTTCACGGTGCATCTCACCGTGAACAAATAACATGGCGTTTTGATTTCATTTGAAATATATCTCTGTCTTCCAGATGTACGTGACCCTGGTGTTCCGGACCAAAGGGACCCGTCTGACTAAGCCCACCTTGTGCCTGGTGCTGCTGTCTCTGGCCGTGCTGGTGGGGGTGGTGAGGGTGACTGAACACAGAAACCACTGGAATGATGTCCTGGCTGGGTTTGTCACCGGAGGGGCCATCGCTGCCTTCCTGGTGAGAGGGAGGGAGATATGGGGAAGGGAGGGTGGAGGAAGAGATGGATGGAATTTCAGAGATCAAAAACGAATTGTGTTGCGATGTTTTTTTTAAAAAGTGGTTGCCCAGAAAAAAAGTTTGGGACACACTGTCACACCTATGAAAGTGAATGGACTGATCTGAGTCTTTATCATGGTACTTTCAAATAGCGTAATTTGGACTTGGGCCCTCTTGGCCTAAATCAATTTTCTGCAAAAGTTAACTTTAAAGATCAAAGTGCCCCCTGTGGTTCATCCCTATCTTCCCATGTCTCCTACAATATGTCATTCTTTTTGTCTCCCTCTCATACTGCAAGTGTCCTCTTCAGTAATGTTCGGGTGCGCACTTTCACGCACCAGAAAAGCCTCCCTCTTCTGAGTGCAATGGAGGGGATCTCTGTCCTCCCTTTACCTTATAACTCTTTTCTTTGCTCTCCATCAGGTGTCATGTGTGATCAACAATTTCAAGCAGACCCAGATAGGAATGCCGACTCCTCCGCCTCCACAGCGTCCAGAGTCCGCGATCGGGCTTCCTCTCCTCAGCCTGCCCCGCGTGGAGAGTCCACTCGAAAAGTTAAGTAGCCTCCAGGTAAGGGGTGGGGGAAAACATCACGGAAAAAACATTGATCAAATAGTTGAAATAATCAAAAGTAGCACAAAGTGTCCATGATCATATTTTTGACTTAAAAGTGTCATTTGGTGAGCAAATACTTATTAGCCATGTTAGCAGCATGGCTATGGGGAATGCCACGCGGTCAGCCCACCCCTTTAGTCCAAAATGAAATACCAACAGAAATAGAATGTATGTAAACTAGAATGCACATTGAGCTGTTTTCAGTGGTCATATTACCAAAAGAAAGTAAAGAGGTGCCGTTAAGTGCTGACACAGCTCGCCAGGAAGAGGGTGTACGCAGCTCCGTGGATGGCTGACTAGTTAGCTATGTACCTTGTCCGTCTCCGGAGCGGCGGGGAATGAGGCGGACCCAGCGCTGTCGCAGGCCACCAGCCCGCTGCTCGGCTCATTTTCTGTAATCAGTGTAGCATTAAAGCATGGTGGAATTAGCAAGCTAGCTCACTAGCGCACTGCTAACCTATAAGCTATGTTGCTAATTCCACCATGCTGTAATGTAACACAGGTTACAGAAATTTAGCCGAACAAAGTTGCCGCTCATCTGTCGATGTGCTTTCCTACGCTGTGACAAGAGCATGTGGATGAAGCATTAAGTTGCTAAATTTTGCTGATTTACTCTGGCTCTCTACACTTCGAAACATTACTACTCCAACGCTCGTTTTAGTCGTTACTGCAAAACTTCACCTAAATGAGTCGGCATCTTGCTGTAAGTTGGTTTATTTAAACAGAAGTTAGCCCCATACAAGGGTTGAATCGGCATGTCCGCTCTGCTCCTATTCTATTTCTATGGAAATATATCAACAGCTATTAGACACTCATGCTCCCCAGAAGATGAATTTTGTTTATGCCCAAATACCTTTTAAAAAGCATATCATTCCCATCAGGTACCGCTGGGCTTTGAATTTAGTGATGCATATGTTAACATGATAAACTAAACATGTTGCACCACTGTGCCTACAGCCTCACAGAGCCGCTAGCATGGCTGTAGACCTCGTTTTTTCAAAAGTGTGTCAGGGTGTCTTCACTGATAATCTTAGTTGTTTCATGTGTGTGGATTTATGCTGACTTCCTCTTTGCTTCCCTCCCTCTCTATCTCTCATAATCTTCTCTCTGTCCTCTTCCCTCCTGTTAGGCTCCAGGGCTACCGTATTCTGAGATCACATGACCATCAGCCAATCCCGTCCCCCGCCCCTCCCGATGTGCTCCTCCCCTCACGGCGTTGCCTCACCAGCGCAGTCTAGACCTGCCCACTGAATACCCCCCGCCCTGCCCTGCCCACCCCGTAGGACGACATCCTCTCAGACGAGTCAAATCCACGCAGGTCTGAATGGTCCACCAATCACAGGAGGCAGAACAGCGCACACGTGCGTGTGGTGTGCATGGCTGAAACCTGTCATCCGCTAAGGACCAGCAGGAGAGGATACGTGTCCTTCTGTCCTTCTGTCCTTCTGTCCTGTTCTGTCCTGTTTGTCCTCCACGATGGCCTCCTTTTTTCCTTCAGGTGATAAAAGACCCAATGAAAGAACCCGCCAAAGCCAGAGCTGTTGAAGCAATACTGTGTCCCTATTTCCTTGTCCTGTTTTCCACAAAGACCCACAACAGAGACTCTAAAGACTGTTGGCTGGTGATGACTTGATGAAACACTTGATCAAATCAAAGTAATTCAGCGAAGCTGAGGGTTCGGGCAACTAAGAAAATTCCAATCGCTGGTGGATCGTCCTCAACAGACCATTTTGCAACACTCAGGACAATACAATGGGGACAAAAAGGGACAATATTAGAATCAAAGACCTTTATGTAATCAAAATGCAGGTACTGTTGAGTATTATGGCACAGATTTTTATTTCTGTCCGCAAAACAAACAAGAGTCGAAGAGGAAAGCACCTTTGTAAATTATGGCACAGATGAACCTATTTGGTGTTCAGTGAACTGTGTTGTGTCTTATTTGTTTATGGGGGGGGATTTGGGTTTGATCTCTGACAGAAGAGAGATTCATACACACTAGGGCTGTGCTTGTGATACTACCATTTGTTTTTGGGGCATCGGTTAATTCATCCCTGAACTAGATTTGCCATCAGCTCTCCAAATGTCTTTTACTGACTATTCAGGTGTGTGTTTTCTAAAAGCTGTAGGTTCTACGTCCATGCTGTGAAATATTTGGAAGGTTTTATCATTCGACTTACTGCCTGTTCCCATGTGGACTACTTCGTTGGTGTTAGTTTGCATAAAATGTCCCCGTTTCTTTTTCTTTCTCTACCTGTATCTAAATGTTACCCCTTTGCTTTCCGAAGCGATTGTGTGATGAGAGTAGTTCTGCGTCAGTTGTTGACGCCACTGTTTTATCCGTCCTGTTCAGCTGTTTCCTCACACGGACTTTAGGGAACCAATGGCACAGATCAGTGTGTAACACAGAGGTAGGACCTCTTGAGTTTTGTATAGTTTTGTACAGTAAATAGGTTTCTTTACACGGTATATACTACATTATCATTATGTTTAAATAGTGTGAACAATGTGAAGCTACCTGAACCTGTCCTGCAGGAACACGAGTCGAGGCCTGGTCTGAAGCAGGAATGTAGCGCGGTGGAGCAGTGTGTGAAATCGAACAGCATGCGCTCGCTGTGTTTGGCTCACAACTTGCTTTGGATCTGCTTCGTTCAAAAGGACACTGCAGGGCAGGTTATTGTGGTAGGAGAGTACGCGATGGGTTATATAAAGACATTTTATCAAGCGTGCGTGCGTGTACATGCGCGTGTTCATTGAGATTTGTGTGTATGTTTATAATGAGCACATTGTATGGCAGCAAAACTGTTAATTTGGCAATCTTTTTTTCTTCAGTTAAACCGTCAAAAGTAGCTGCTACAATTACACACTTGTGCTTGTGTGTAAGTGCAGGCCTTCAAAGGACCCCTGCCAAGGCGTCCCTAACAATGCCTGTTAAAGCAGAAGGCGCTCATTATAGCTTGGAGATTACTTAAAGAAAAACTTTTCAGTCTGGATATTTTTTTGTAAACAACTGAAGGGGTGGAGAACACTGTAACTGTCCAAAATGATGTTATTTTCATGTTACAAATGTTTCTGTTTTGTATTTATTTACCAAAATAAATTGCAATTACCACACATCACTGCCTGCGTTGCATTTTTCTCACTTGATTTGTTGTAATATCTCGCACTCTTCGGTAAGGATATATCTTTGCTGTTCTACCAGTTCCATTTGTTTAATGCTTTTACTTCAAATCATGAGCCATGACCACTCTACGTGAAAGTATTAAGAGACATTTTTGATGGATATCAACTTGCATTAAAAGGAAAAGCACAGGTGTTACTAATAACGTTAACGATGGCTCTGTTCTATTTAAGTGTCCCAGCAAGTCACTCCGGTGTGAAGCACCCTATTCATTTTATTGTTTACACCTTTGTGTGAAAATAGACTGGAATGGTCTATCTAGCAAATTCTACTTTTTTTTTTTTTTTTTAAATCAACGATTTCAAATATAGAGGATTTATTGAATCAAAAAATGTAACTTATATTAAAGGAAAGGAAGTAATTAAAATATTTAAGAGAGCATCAGAGTTGTCCGCTGGCTCTTGTCTGTCAACAGACTTGCTGTATGAGCTACTGTATCATGGAGTTGCTATGTAACAACAACAACAAAATGTCCCATGATTTATTGTAATGAGGATAAAACACAACAGCATCTACTCGTGGACTGCTACAGAGCTCAAGAGGTCTGGTCCATGCTTCAAGGCCTTGGCCTACTTTTCCATGTTAATTATAATTCTGTTATGTACAGTATGGTCTGTTAGATAAGAAGCGACGAAATCTTTTTCAACTCATTGTCAGCATTACATGTTTTAAACTGGAAAACTAGATGTGTCATGGTATGTGATCAGACAGTTATAGACAGCGATGTGGTTATAAAACACATACTCAGTGACCTCAGAAGGAGAAAAACTCTAGATAAAAACCTGATGCTGTCACGGTTTTTGTGTATTATGCATGTATATGTATACATTTTCTATGTATTTATGAACTGTAAACCTGTTTTAAACTTAATATAGCTTTTTTTTGGGAAAAAAAGCGTGGTTGACGTTCACTTCACTGACTCGCGTGGGTAACGATCGACTAAGGTGACAAAAATGTCAATATTACTTTTAGTTTCGTACGGGACACGAACAGCGGTCTCCCGTTCCTATGTTTGTTTGACCCACACCTACTTACATTAATTTGCAGTAAATTCAATGATGGGGATGTCAAAACAATTAAAACCCTAAACATGGCAGGAGACAGTGGATTTACTGCACCTCGCTTCAAAATGTTGTGGCAGTAAGGTGATACGGACACCAGGTGGCAGTGTTCACCATGTCAACCTGAGGACCTGAGTGTTTTTTTTTATTCACCAGTTTTAATATTTATGAAATTAAACAGCACTTTGGGAATGTAAATATATGCTAAAACAGAAAAGAGGATTTTAAAATGTTTTCCACACGAGGCCTCTGCTGGCCCACATTAGGCATCAGTCATCAAGCTAATAAATGTAATGTAATGGCACAATTACTTTGAAATGTAGATTGAGGCCATCTCTCTCTCTCTCTCTCTCTCTCTCTCTCTCTCTCTCTCTCTCTCTCTCTCTCTCTCTCTCCTCTCTCCTCTCTAAATTGCCCCAGTCTCTCCCCGCCCCCTCTTTGTGTTCCTTTGAGTTTGTGTTTGTCAGTCTTGTTAACGACAATGCACACACACACACACACACACACACACACACACACACACACAGGCACACAAACGGAGAACTCTCTGCACTCTCTCGACAACATTATCTTTTCCGGAAATTGCTTCTCAAGCACAGCCGGAGCCCCATTAGAAAAGAAGAGCTCTACGCTGTAACCTTTTTAAAAAGCCATTAGTGATGCACCTGCTTCTCTCTCACTCTCTCTCTCTCTCTCTCTGTTCCCATTTGTGTGTACTATTTGTCTCTCTTGTTAACACTGACACACACACACACACACACACACACACACACACACACACACACACACACACACACAGTTCCTCCATCATAATTGCCAGCTTCCCAGTTCCCAATCCTACAAACTGACCACTGAGCAGCAACAAGCATCCTTCCACTCTATTTAGAGTATGAATCACTGACATTTTAAAAGTTATGCGTCAGAGTGCGAAACCTCTAAATTACATGATTTACGCGACTTATTCTAATGGCTTGTGACTGTTGAATCAATGTTTTGGACATGAGTAATTCCCTCTCAAAGCTACACACAGGGAAAACGAGATATGTCATAAAATGTCAGTGCAGTGAGGAGGCCGGGGTTTACTGCAGCAGAGATGAATGAGACATGATTCATGCAATCTTTGCCTAAATTTGAGCATACTGTACAAATGAGCTTTTAATTATAAATGCTGCTCCCACTTATAGTGATTTAGTGTTTTCGTCATAGTTTTCTGATACCTTACATATTGAAAGCTATTTGTCTGAGACACAAGTGATTTTGTATTTTACTTACTTTAAGAGCTGCCAATCCTAAATGAATGGGAGTGACACGATATACTGACATGTATATGGCATAAACGTGTCTTTCAACATATGGTAAGACAAAAATATATGTGTGGTATAACATTAAATATATTAAAGGGGAACTCCACCGATTTAAAAACTCAAAGTCTGTTCACAGCTCTACAGGCAGGCGGCAATCTCCAGTTCTGAAAAGTGAAGTCTAATGGCCAGGGGGCGACTCCCTTAAATGGCGACAGCCAAAAGATAAGATAGCAATGGCCAAATACCAAGATGGGGACGATCAACAACCAAGATGGTGATGACTAAAAACCAAGATGGCCATAGTGTCGTCCAAAAACTAAGATGGAGACGGACAAAATGCAGAGCCCAAGACTTCAAAACGGCAGTCTACACACTGACTTGTAACCGAACTGACGACGGTCGAGTTGCATTATGGGTAATGTAGGCACCAGGTTTCAACAAGGAGGTAGATTACATTTATGTTTTAAAACTGTCCAACATGAGCCCGACAATATGTTAGGAGACCAATAAAAAAAAGAAATGATTGTGTATGAGTATATGTGTGTGTGTGTGCGTGTGTTTGCTGGGGTGCAAGTGTGTGTGTGTGTGTGTGTGTGTGTGTGTGTGTGTGTGTGTGTGTACCTGAGATTTATTTCCTCTGATGAGCTGAACTTTGCTCCCTGACTCAGTGTCTGTCTGTTTGGCGTAATGTTCATGACCCCGAGGTCACACACTGTCTAGGGCGGAACCACTGTGTGCGTGTGTGTTTGTGTGTGTAAGAAAGGAAGAAATACAAGGAGAAATAAAAGGAGTGAGTGTAAGTGAGTGAACTGAGGGAGATAAAAAGTGCATGGATGAGCGTGGTTTATCGCATCCCAAAACAAACCAGCAGCCCCTGGGTAATAAAAATATACTCTCTGTCATAGTAAATTACAAATATTGGTCTTCGCCTTGCTGCAGTCTCCTGATTATGCTCAATGGTCTGCCTCTGACAATTTTGAAGCCATTAACGCTGTGTGTGTGTGTGTGTGTGTGTGTGTGTGTGTGTGTGTGTGTGTCTGTGTGAGGGAAAGAGAAAAGACTCTATGGCTGCTTGTTTGAGGAAATATGCTGCTGTTTTTTTCACGGCCTTGAAGGCTCCAGTGCCTTACAGCGTCGGCCTTGTGGGCTCTGAAGACATTTCATTTACATGTTTGCTCCGTCTGCTGTTCTGTTTCAGACGTCTTTGACTAGAGTAAAGAGAGCGAAGAGAGGAAGAAGAGAAGACATGGGAGGGGACATAAAGATAAGTTATAGAAAAGCCAATTTAGCTCTAGTGTGCATCATTACTGAAGCATTCAGTACACACACACACACACACACACACACACACACATTTGGGGTTTTAGGGGCAGCTCCTTTACAGGCCACTAGATGAGGAGAGGATTATAAGAGGCGTTAATGCCAATCCCATCCAGCATGTCTGCTAAGGAAGACCATCAACCGGATACAGGGGTCCTAGGAGACAGGATTAGGAGTGGGAACACCCACACCCACACACACCACAGGCTATAGAAACCTCTGTTAAGACCCTGCAGGGAACATCATTCAGGACATGCAAACCAAGTCCCATTTCAGTCTATTATGATTCCAGCATTAATGACTAACATAGTGGTGGCTTTGTCTCACACGATGCTCCTCTATTTCTGCATCTGATACACCTCAGTGCTTATTTGTTATTTTTATATATTTTTGTCAGACAGCTGTTGGTTTCAAGTGTGTGCAGCATTAGATTCCACTTCTTGGACAAAATAATAGAAACAATAATTCCACTCTATATACTATTGCATTGCTTTATTGTACGCATGTTTTGCTATTCTGTCTAAATAGTGTAAAATGAAACAAACTCACAGCACTACAAACTGTGACTTCAAAAGAGACCATGGAGTTGAATCAATATTTTACAACATTATAACCCTAAAAAAAGGCAGCAGACTTAATTATTTATTGCACATAATTGCATTGTATTTTAGAGGTTTGTCCATCCCCATTAATATGAATATTATAGAGAGACTGTATGAGTCACAAAACACGCAATATAATATGAGTCAACATATAATAGTATTATGATATCACCCTATGGGGACATAATAGAACAGGTCCAATTGACCCTTCTCTAAGCCCCGCCCCCCACTGTCAGAGCTACCGTGGAGCCCACACTGTCACTAACTGCACTCCCTGAAATATGATCTAACACGTTAAAAATAGAAAGATAGAAACTAAAGCTACAGATCACATGATCCACACATCACCTGGTGATCGAGACAGAGAACAATGAAATTAAGGAACAACACTGTTCCTGTAAAGCCGGGTATACCTTTGTTCACTGCTGGCATTAGTATACCTTCAGTAGATAGTATAGAAGAGCTGACGCTAGTTAACGATGCGCTACCGCACTCTGCTAATGCTACCTCCACAGGTTTTTATTGTAGAAACGTAACATGCATGAGAGGCTATGGAGTAGAGCTAGATAGTTGTCGGACCCAGGTGGGAAGATGCTGCGCCATGATTGGCCATTCTGCATTCGAGGGCGGGACTTAGCAAAAGGGTCAATGACCTGGGAGAAACACCTGGTCACACTTGAAACAGACAGTATAAACAAGCCAAAGGATTTTGTCTCAAAGCCCCCATCTGACAAGATTCTCCCTGTAGGCTTCAGTTTCAGTTGTATTTTATTTTTTACTGCGGCCTACCGGACCTCCATGATGTACCCGTTGAGGTCCCCGCACCCCAGATTGGGAACCACTGCTCTATAGGGCATGCTCTTAGGCGCCAGGGTTGCATGGAGGCATGGCCACGAGTAAAAAAAAAAAAAAAGAGGAGGAGGAGGAGCAGGAGGAGAGGTGAGGAGTGGCAGCTGGGTTGCATGGGATGCTGCTGCTGCTGCTGCATAGGCTCCATCGCTCCATCGCTCCATCCCTCCCTCGGAGAAAATGGGAAAAAAACAAGGAGTGGTTATGTGATTCCCCACAAGCAGGAGGAGAAGAGCACAGGAGAGAAAGGACTAGCGGGGGAGGGAGGAGGAGTTGGGGGGGGGGGCGTTTCCCTGCACAGCATCGCCTATTCTCACACTTCAGCATGGATACAATGTGTGGCATTATGGAGCGTCTTCTTCGAAGGGAAGCTGACATAAAGGTGGACGTGGCGGTAAGTTGAATATGTAATTGTTTTCCTACTGCTACTTACCATGAAAAAAAGCGACAGTTTCACATTCGCGGCGTCGCTCGGGGCACTTTAGACTGTCCGTCCTGATATTTAGAGATATGTATATTCATTCAAGTGAGGGGAAAACAGGACTTGTCGATGGGAGCCAGCGCGTGCAGCTATACGTGCACGGCGCGGGATTAACGCCCCATCAATTCCTCGTCGGGCACGCTTTACGATCTGACAAGCAAACAGGTCGGTCCCATCAGCATCACTCCCAACTAAAGTTCCCATCGAATCACTAGACGAGCATTTGCACCCGCACGCAGCTGAAGCAGCGGCGTGGCAGCTCCTCTTTTTTTATTGTAGCCTGTTAATTAATAAAGACAAATGTGGTTTCGAATCTCCTCCACGCTCCCTGCAAAGGGTTAAAGATTAAATTGCCCACTCTGGAACTGGGTTCTCCTTGTCAGTGGGAGCGGATGTATTTACAAACAAAGAAAGCTTAATATCCAAGCCTGTCACGTAGAAGACAGGTGCTGGGCTATCTGCAATTGTACAGTGTGTGCGTGTGTGTGTGTGTGTGTGCGTGTGTGTGTGTGGTTGTGTGGTTATCTGTGCTAGTAGGCCAACTGGAGCCGATGCGTTCAGGCCCATGCAAAATTAAGAAAACCAAAGTGTTACTGTTAAATTTGTCACTGAAACTTTGTCAGAGAGGGTCTTATTCTGCACTCTCCGGGCTGAATTCGTTGCCGCATGCCTTCACCGAGTCATTTATTTTTATTTCATTTATTTTTTGTGTGGGTAGTGACTATTAGGACTCCACAGTGTAGCCAAAGTGACTGGAAAGATTCGCCGTTGCAGGCGTAAGCATAAACATCCTCATAACAGCGCCTTCGGTTCCAAGCAATTAAGCAGTAATGTGCAAAGCGGCAGCCCAGCGTCCGTCTCCGTCTCCATCTCAAGTCTTCAGCCTCCGGCGCAATACCACTTGCGAGTGTGCATCCCGTCTGAAACGCCAGGTAGGCTACATTAAAAGATTGGTACGTCTGTTGCGTCAGACATTAATATCAAAACGCAGACTGATTGTCTTTCATTAGGGGCCCCCTCCGGCTGGAGCCAGTTCACTTTTTCAATGAAGTCAACGCAGGAAATGGATTTTACTTTGGAAATGCAGACCAGATGTCTTTCGCCCATGAAAATAAAGTTGCCATCCAGTCTGCACAGCTATTATTGGGCATCGCATGTATCGTGGATGCAGGGTCAGTTTACATGAATTGACTGGGTCTTGCAGGGCCTGGGCCGTGCATTCAAAAGTGTTTCAGACAGTGTTCCACACACACACACACACACACACACACACACACACTCATCGCAGCTTAAAAAAAAAACTACACTGAAGCGTGTCTTCAAATTAGACGGAGACATCCTAGTGACAGCGGGCAGACAACCACACCGGTAGTCGAGGAGGGCAGCGGCAAAGCGTGTATTTTTACACCAGATCTCTGACATGCGCCTCTTCACAGCTCATGGTGAGAACAGAAGACACGTCCACTTGAGTTGTCATCATCATCCGCAGCCGCAGACATGGACAGTTGGAGATGGAGGATGGAGGAGAAAGAAGAGAGAGAGAGAGAGAGAGAGAGAGAGAGAGAGAGAGAGAGAGAGAAGTATAATGAGGGAGACAAGTGGACCTCTGGACATGAGTTTTTTGGCACTTCCCTTACAGGAGACAGTGGGTTAGGAGAGGTAGCACAGGTGTGAGTGAGGCGAGAGGGAGTGTCAGTGGCAAATGGGAATTTTTTGTTTTTGATTTTGTGACCGGGAGTATCGGGTTTGGTCGGAGAAGGGAGACGGGGGGGTTACACACACGAGCTGATCTGAGGACAAGGGAAGCAGTGAGGGAGAGGGGAGTGAGAGGGTGAACACGAGGGCGAGAGCGGGTGAGACCACCGAGGGATCACCGTGATGAGAGAGAGGAAAAGGTTAAGGGGGAGGTGGGGGTGAGAGGAAGTGAGGAGAAAAGAGAGAGAGAGAGAGAGAGAGACAGTCAAGTCATGCCTGACTGTGCGTGTGTGTCTGTGGTGCTGATGCAACTCCCCCACTTTCCCCAACGACTCTCCTCCCCTCTTGTTCCATCCTCCTCCGCTGTTGATTGACAACGACTGTGTCCCTAATTGGCAAGTGTGGATGAGGAAGAGTCGGGCTCATCCTCAATGGGACAGACCGGGGAAAAGAGAAAGAGCGCGCGGGGGGGGGGGGGGGGGGGAGCATACAAGAGGAGCCTTACCAACAATCAGTGAGTGAGGAGAGGAGAGAAGAAGAAGATGGGGGGAGGAGAAAAAAAAAAGGAATGGAATGAAGAAGGACATGAGGTGAGGAGGAGGGGCTGGAGGTGAGGGGCTGAACATCTGTTTGGTAATCCGTCTCTCCCCTCGGCGCCAGTGTGACACACACTGACACCTATTTGATAATTGGTGAGCCTGCCCCTCTCCCTCGGCGCTCGGCTAAATGGTTGCTTGATACCGGCAGGGAGCAAAGGAATAGCTGTCGGCGGTGCGGTCTGTTTACTCGGTGCAGCTCGTGTAGCGCGCTGCCTGTGTAGCTGAAGCTTATACAGTCTGGTATAGTAAGTCTCAACAATGAGCTCGACAGCGTGCGTGACACGTGTATTATGACTCCCCCCCAGCACTGCCGCTGCATTGTTACTCAAGGATAAATACCGTCTCTTTTGTGTCTCTTATCCCTTTAGGTGCTGCCCTCAAAAAGATTTGCCTCCACGCGCAGACCTCCTCCCTCCACCGCTGCGATCTCACTCAAGAGTGTAGGAGCTGAGGGGATGCACACAGAAGAAGAAGAAGAAGAAAAAGGAAGAAGAAGAAGAACAAAACAAGGAATGAGCTCTGGGAGGAGAGAGAGAGAGGAGACGGAGTGAAGGATTGTGGGCCTCTTTGCTCCGGTCTCGACCACGGGTATTCTTGGGTTGATAATACAGATGTGGATGTTATTGCTTGAGAATACGCGTAGTCGAGTGGAGGCTTTATCATCTACAGTGGACCCAAAATCAGAGCTCCATTCGGTATACGGTGTACCACGGCATGAGACTAGACACGTGTTAATGTGTACAGCCAAGCTGGGCGGGTGACACAGTCATGGGGCGGTTATTAATTAAGCACCCAGAGGTGACTTTTTATGGGCTTTATTTTGTTCAATCAGAAAAGTTCTTTTTTTTAATAGAACGCAATCAGGGCTATAGCCAAATCCAATTTCTTTATCACCGTACCGGGTTTATCAACCCAGTATAGAAATCCATGTCAGTCTCTTACAACTGTGGAGGAAATGAGTTGGTTTCGCCAGCCAGGTTCAGCCCTCTCCTCTGCAGAGGTGCTGCATGGGGAGGACTCGCACCGTGCCACTGAGCTAAACCCCCCCACGGGCATTAGTTTCGGAGAGCTTAACACCAAAGTCCCCAGACTCAGGCGTTAATTCCAAACCTTCTTGATTACATTACCCTTGTCAGTCAGTCGTGCTTACAAGTGAGCCCATAATCTTATCAGCTGATGAGTGTCTCTCACAGCCCCCCCCCCCCTGCACCAGATGTTCCCCCTGAGCGGAAATGTGCAGCAAAAAAAAAAAGAAATGCAATTGGCTCCTCGAACGCCAACTGGATGGTACATTGCAACATGTGCACAAACTGCCCATCCCATCCCACCGCGCTGTGCTCTACTATTTTTGACTCCCTGGCTCGTGCCGTAGAAATGTGTGAGAATGTGATGCCTGTAGCGGCAACAGGAGACAGTAACGCATGAGGACATGTCAAGACTCGCACCCTCAGCTGACATCTCAGCATTCGGGCTCAGCTGACTGGCTGTCATGATGGAGACGCACACACACACACGCACACACACACACACACACACACACACATATATAAATTGCATGAGGGGTTCACATGATCTACATGCCAGAGGGGAAATTATGGGATTGATGGATCTTATGAAAACAAGCATACAGACAGATTCCCCCCCATATGTTTGAATATACACACACTCCGCAGCTGGGTTCACCGGGTCCAGTGTGCCAGTGGGGAAATAAGCGATTGATTGATTTTATGAGTAACTATTTTTAGTCAGAGTGATGGATGTTTATGTCTTTTATTGATCAGGTCGAGGTGTGGGCCGGGTCGTGCACTGATTAATCAGCTGTTGGAATAAAACATCCCGGTTTACATTTTTTGGTGCATTAGCATTATTTCAAAAGTATTATAAATTAGAAAATCAACATTTCATTGCAAATTCAGCAATATATTAGCATCCGTTTGCAAATGTGGCCATGATGAATTGCACTCTTCTCATGCACCACTCCATGATTTCTTACTACTGCGTAAGCAAATCTCTTATTTATTAGCACAGTGTGTAATTATAATTTATACGGATTTTCACACTGACGTTGTGTAAACTTGTTGATCTGGCAAAGCCGTTTCTGTGGTTTGTGTGTATTTGTGTACGCATGTGAGTGTGTATGTATGTGTGTGTGTGTGTGTGTGTGTGTGTGTATGCTTCTAAGCAACAAAATGACTATTGTGAGCACAGATCCAGGTGCCTAGCAACCGAAATCGCTCTGTTTCCCTGGCAACCGTTGCCTCTCACCCACTCTGTGGGTGATTGGCAGCCTTGACAACGGAGACGGGATTGACACTTGACCTCGCGTGCTGAATGGGAGAGAGAGAAAGCGGGAGCGAGGAGCGGTTGGGGGGGAGAGAGGGGGAGGGAGGCAGTCGGAGGGGACGCACGGGGAGACAGAGGAGACACTAAGTGATAATCATTCCCCATTGTGATCCTCCTCCAGCGGGTTTCATAAGGCCTCGTCAATACCCCCCTCCAACTGCGGTCCATCGTGCATGCACGGACACTCTCTACCTGGGTGGAGAGGCCAGGCGGGCACTCCACATCTCATCTATTATCACTCAGCCCTGCCTGGTGCACGGCCCCCGCTGCACTGTGTCCTCTTTCATTTGGGATCGGCCTCATCCATGGGCTCCGCGGGGAGGAGCGGATGCCGGACTCCTGAAAAATGTTTCACGACCACAGATGCCAACGGGAGATCAGAAGCCGCGTGCACCCGAGACATTTTACTTTGGAACTGGCACTGCCTGGTGTCTTTAACCCCTTTCAATGGAAGTGCTGTAGCTCAATGTGTTTTGTGTGTGTGTGTGTGTGTGTCTCCCCCATCCATTCACTAGCCGAGGGCATCTCATTTTTGTAAGTTTTCTTAAAACCAAAAAGTTAATTGCTGACTCCACCTGTGAAACAGTACAAACTCAAATAAAAAAAACACACCTTTGGTAGTCACCAAGTGTGTTTTCACCTCATTCAACATTTAGTAGAAATTATACTCAACAAAGGGTCATTTAAGGTGCTTATTATCTACTGATACTGACAAAATAATTAGTGGATGTGATTTTAAAGCTTAATTTCTTCAACAGTGTAATTAAACCTCAACTGTAATTCTGAAGTTGTCCCTCCATTTGTCACCAGCTGGTGGTGCTCAGTGCTGTACAGGATATGTATGTCACTCTGTCCTTTCCCGTTCAACCATTAAAAAAAAGAAAAGAAAAAAAAAGACTTGCATTCAACTAAATCAAATCAAAGTCAAACCACATCTTCATCACAAAAAGAAAGGAATGAAAAAAAAATCCAGTGTGTGTCAGTAACAAATCTACTCTCAAAGTGGCATTAAAATGCAGTACATTAAGTTCATTATACAATACAATGAAAACCAATAGAGGCGAACTGGTATCAAGTCTTATTGCTTCTTTATTTCCAAGATCACACTTATCAAGTGTATTACATTGTATTGAAAAGCAGCCTGCTTTTCAATACTATTGGTTGCTGCATAGGAAAATAAACAGTCAATATCAACGTTTGATTTCAGGATAAGATTACACTATTCTGTAAATATTCGCTTCATAATAGAGATCATTTGATTGTTTTTTTGTGATTTTTTTTTTTATTTGAAAATATAAGCCCAAAAGATACAATCAAATGACAAACTGAATGATTCAAGAACAGTTCAAAACCTTTGGTTTTAGCAGCTTAGCGTAAATCTCACACATTCCCGTTCCTCGAACCAGTGGAATGACCCAATGTTATGACACAAATGTCTTTATGAGGAGGACGACTGTGGACACGACCTGTAACGTCACGCCTGAACTGTCAGAGTGTATGATAATGAGATCCACACAGGTCTCTCTCTTGTAATGCTACCCGAAAAGATTTAACTCTCTATTGGTTTCACATGAAAATGCCAAGATGGGAGCCCTTTCACTTACGTTACAGGTCGCTTATTAAAAATACAAAAAAAATTAAAAATATCTATCGGTTAAAAAAAAGTAAGCAGAACCCTGCAGAATAATACTATTTAAAAACAGGATTTTTGAGACAAAAAAAAAATAAAAAAAATAAAAGTATATTGAAAATAGAAAGCCCCGCTCAATGTGTGAAGACAAATCCGGTCACGTCACAAATATCAAAACCGAAATTGTGTCGTGTCGCTACTTGCTGCAGTTCACACAAACTAACTCTGTAAGTGACCATATGGAAACCTCAGAACAATTAAAAGTTTCCTAAATGTCCTCTGACCGGCTGGATCCTATTGGGCCACGTCCCCATCCTCTTCAAGTTCCTCAAAGTCATCCAGCTCCACGGGGGCTACTGATTGGCTGATTCACAGGCATCTATCCAATCGCTATACACGTCGACTGGCTCCGACAGATCTGAGGAGCAACGGGTTAAGGCCTCAAAGGGTTTTGTTGCTGAAGAGTAAGAGCCTGTGCAGGATGATCCGTACTTTGCAGAGCAATGCAGATGTTATTATCTTGTGAAACAAGTGTGCAACATCAGTCACATGACAACAGGTGGTTGTATATGAAGGGGAGACCACAACCAGCCCCCAAACTAATTGTAAAGGTGTGAGGGGAGGAGGTCTCCTAAGCCATGCTGGGCCCCTTTGTGGGATCCAGTTGAAAGTGCAAATACATTTTGTTTAAATACCATTATTAGAAAAAAAACGTTCACACTAAAAGCTACTAAAAATAATTGTTATATTCCTGTCATTATTTGTGGCGTCATCTAAAATCCATGCATGAATAGGGATACAGGTAATGGGGGTCTGGAACTCCTCCAAGCAGACCGTGCATGATATGATTCCAGTATTTCTCGTTCTCTCCCTGTTGACGGAAAAACAAAAAGTTTGGCAACAATCACCTTTAGAAATCAACGAATCAAACGTGAGGCAGGCCGGCGTTTGCTTTCACTTTACGTACATTTTGACGTCACATGACTTCTCGTGATTGCAGAACGGACAGGTGAACTGAGAGTCCAGATCTCCCGTCAGCTTCTTCTTCGGAGGGGGCTTTCTCTTTGACTTGCGGCGACCCATTGCACACAGTGAGTCGCGTCTGTGTGGGAAAGAGATACAAACAAGCAGCTTCAATAAGTAGAACACGTGCGACGGTTGAATAGCACCAAAGACACAATCCCAAAGACAACAGAGAGACAACTCTCGACTAGAAAACATCTCCAGCTGCTGCTCCGTATTCTTAGCAACTAAAGTTAGCAGGCTATCGTTAGCATGTTTGTTTTTGGTCTCCTGCAACGTTACAACACAATCGCCTCGCGATAAAAAAAAAAAGGCGAGTTAATTAAACGGACTCCGGTAAGAGAGCATCTTTGGTTGTGCCTCAAGTAACCGTAGCGATTAAAACTTGATTGTTTAATGTTATCCAGTAAAAGCTTAATCTTGTTTACCTTCGCCTTCAGAAAATACACGTTGCGGTGAGGTGGAAGAGGCTTCCTCAAAGACCCGGCACCCGCAACTGTGTTTCAGGTTAAGTGATTGGAGGAGAGCATGTGCTTCACAGCCAGTCATTGGCTCTCTGGCGTGTCAGTTATGTTGATTGGCAAATGCCAACACCGGAAGTTAGCATCCCGCTGCTTCCCTTGGCATAAATAACAATGGGATTTTTCCATTGGATTTTGGATTTTTGCGGAAAATAAACGCGGTGGCAAACTCGCGTGCATGATACTAAGACGTTGTGTTCAGCAAGATAATATTTACAGATGAACACCGATTTAATTAATTTTGAAACGTGCAGTAGTAAAAAGCTAACGTTAGGCTATCAAGGAACTACACCACGGTCGCATGAGCGCGAGCTTGCACAACGAGCGGACTGGTCGCCGTGATGACGTTTAGTAGTCTCGTTTAGCCACTTGTGAGCAACCGCGCCTTTTAAGACACGTGCAAGCTTTAAAAAAACACGAGAGGGAGAGAGTATTCACTGCTGTGGTTTATGTCGTAGAAAAACCAGTTTATTTCGGGCATCTAACCAAATGCCCATTCAAAAAACCTATTGACTTCGAGACGAGGGAACCGGAAGTGCAAAAATGCTAACTCGTGTAATGTCCACAACAGTCTCAACTGTACTGAGTCCTGCAGCACTCCATTCCCACGTGGTGGCGACAGAAGCTAGCTCTCAGGTCTGGTGTGTTGTCTAAACTACTCCCGTTATGTGTTTTGACATGCCCTGCGAAGTTAAGTAAATATTAAGTTGTTAAATCTTAGTACATCTTGGCAGTTGGCGTGGTTTAAATGGTTTTACATCGTGGTGTGTCTTCTCTCCTCACTGTTTGGTGTTGATGTGGTATGATGATTTATAAGCCACCATCACCTTGTAATCAGGGTCAATGAGGAGCGAGGAAACACTGGTTCCACCGTGTTAGTTAAGCCAAAGTTAGTTGTTTTTTTTTGGAATGCATAATTAGCTGGTTTAACTAATTTAGTGAACTGCTTTGCTTAGCTATTAACTAAAGCAACGTTACTGTACCTGAGTGCAATTTTGAGGTACTTTTACTTGAGTATTTCCAATTTCCATTCTGCCCAATGAGTACTTTTACTTTGATTCTTTAAGTGTATCTTGCTGTTAATAAGCAAGATATTTTTTTAACAGAGCTTTATGGCCAGACATGAGCAGAGTTAAGAGTGCTTCTTCCACCACTAATTGAGTAACATGAAAGAAAGTGAACACCTCATTTTGAACTTTTCAAGTCAGGATGCAAAATATGAAAGAAAATGAATCATAAGTTGGTAAATAATCAAATTCACCATTTATAAAATTTGTATAATTGCATTCAGTAGGTGTGTAATTTGTCAGACATGATTATAACAACATTCATATAGGTTTCAGGCAGAGTTATAGATATTCTGTATTTGACATAAGATTATTATTACATTATATTCATCATCGACTGATCTGCTGATCATTTTTGCTTTATTGTTTCTGTCTCTAAAATGTCCAAAAATACTGATAAATTACGACCTAACCCTAAAAAACATGTTTGCAAAACCGACAACGTAACCATAATTTACTCTTTATGATGCCTGTATGCAAATGTCAAGTCATCATGTCAAACAAAACCCACAAAACATTTAATGGTCATATATAAAGTTTGCATTCCAGCACACGTGTGTCCCTTAAACGTGGTTCTGTTTTGTAGCCAATGTCGGGGATGTGGACGGTGAAGGTGCTCGGCCTGGGTGTGGTGGCGCTCTCTCTCGGCGTGGAGCTGCTCGTCCGGCTCCTCCGGCGCCTCAGGCCCCTTAGGACCCTGAACGAGGTCCTGTTCTTCCCCTCAGAGGTTGCCTGTGTTGAGCACGTCTTCACTTCCCTGCCGCGGTGAGCGAAACATACTCGCTGCACCGAGTAAAAGGAAGCTGTGTGTGATTTTTCTCTGTATCGCTGTCAAGTGTGTTGTAATAATGGCCACTGATGCAAAGAAAAATTCATAGCCCCTAGATGCTTTCGGTAAGTGGATTTAGTCAGTGTAATCACCATTCCTCATCCCACTTGTTTTTCACTTAACAGGGCTGTTCTTTTACCTACTGAATATTTTTTTTATTCACATAAAATAATACTTAGAAAACCAAATTTAAACACAAGTATGAACCACTGGGTCTATTTGCGTTTCTGCCGGCTTGAAAAGTGCATTATTTCTGCTAAATAGTTATTTTAATGCAGCAGTGGGTTTCCTCACTTTCCTCCGCACAACCTGGGTGAGCAATGTTGGAATATATATTAAAGGGACAGAAAAGCATGCGGGATATTGAGCACACTCTGCAGTTGATGTGACGATAAGTACAAGTCTTATTTTCTCTTGTTTTCGTCTCCTCCAGCTCCTGTCTCTGCCCGTTGCGTCATGGCGCAGAGACCTCTCTGTCCCGTCTTCTCCGCCGCATCCTGTCCGCCTCCTCCTCCCTGGACCTGTGCGTCTTTGCCTTCTCCGACGTAAACCTGAGCAGGGCCGTGCTAGCGTTGCACGCTAGGGGGGTCACCGTCCGAGTCCTCACCGACAAGGACTACGTCGCCATCACTGGCTCCCAGATAGGGGTCCTCCGCAAGGCCGGTAAGGGAAAAACAAATCTGATTATTTAAAAAAATCAAATAAAAAATCATTGTGAAGTATATAAACTGTGACTTTAACAATCACTGTGACGAAGCACCCTTACAATTTCACAAAATGGGGACCAGGGAGTCATTTTTAGCCCTCCTAGAGATAAAAAGTCACGCTAAACCTCCATGGGGCCGTTATTATGGACACATTTCTCCTGAAATACGGGAAGGATGACTGGTCTCACTCAATAACAGGTTCCTCCGTCTGTGTTCCCGGACTATCAGTGTCTTTGTCAGTAAGTCCCACGGGGTCCCTGTGTGATGATGGGAACCGTCTGGGTGAACGGAGGTTTCCACTACGAGCCCGCCTGTGAGCTCTGAACGATTTTTGTGTCACGTGTCACACTTTCTCTCTCTCGGCCCTCTGCATTTACTAAATTACCGCCACTGTATATTGTTAAGTAAGAATTAAGTAAGTAAGAAATTGGCAAACAGGGCAGCAAATTTCATTAGGCAAAGTGTTTCTAAGTGTGTGTCGACTGCAAACCTTGTGAGAGCCACTTTGGCACAAGGGACAATTCACTCCTGTTTTCATACTGAATCTGTTTTGTCTGCAGAAACCTTTTTTTTTTTAAATTATTATTATTATCCTCAAATAACTGAAGGTGACTGGTTTGCTGTCACCAGTTTGGGTACGGGCAGGGGGAACCTTCCAGAACCAAAACTTTGAATTTGACGCAGAGCGATTAGGGGGTCAAGGGTATAAGTTCCTTTGCAAGAGAAATGGACAGTTAAAGTGTTAAGTGTTTCTTAATTTCTTTAAAGGGGCGTGAACGTACCCTTTCATGAGAGGATTTGCATGTCTAATCTCTCTCCGAGTTTTGTCTGTACTCCAATGTAAAAATTGCTCGTGTGACGCAAACCGAGATCAAATACCCGAAAGTAATCTTTCTGTCTAAGATGGTTTGTACTGTACCCAACTCATGACAAACAATTTCTGCACAAAAGATTCGAAAAGCATTTATTGTTCGAACCATATTCCGTATTATAACCAATATTATTGGTTTTTTACTGTATAAGCTTGGTTTATGTAAAATAGCTTCTTCAGTTAAGCTAATTTTTTTGTTGCAATATCAACAATATCATAAAATTCTTCAAAAAGCTGATAGCAAGAGATAAGTAAGTAATCATAATAACGATATGTAAGGAATCAGCCCAGGTTTAAAGTTGATTGTCATATTTTTACAGCTCCTTTGCAGGTTTTTCCATCCCGTTGATTTCTTGTGCTCCGTCTGGAAAAGGGAAAAGAAACAAGTGTCCTATGGTTTTATGGAGAGGATGAAAACATTCATTCAATACAACTACATTTATGTTGTAGAGCCCAAAATCACAAATTTGCCTCAGAGGGCTTTACAATCTGTACACATGCGACATCCTCTGTCCCGGGACCCTCACATCGGTACGTCTATTTGACCTCAAATGTTAAGTGTTGAGAGCTTTTGTTGAAATGACGTCGCAGTGGGGTTGAATAGTGAAAGTTGAGAGGTTTAAATGCATTTAGATTTGCTCTACACATATCACAGCTGCTCGGGTTCAGGTCAGCGCCGTCCATTCAGAAACTGGTGCTTTTGGTGTTTTGGTCTATTCGTACTTCTCCGTTATGTGTTTACACAAAGCAACCTGTGTAGTGCCTCCACATTCTAATTCGTGACATTCTCCAACCTCTGCTCCCCCATCAGGGATCTGCGCGCGGTGCGACGCCAACTCCGTCTACATGCACCACAAGTTCGCACTGGTGGACGGCCGGCTGCTCGTCACCGGCTCCCTCAACTGGACGCGGACTGCAGTGCAGAGCAACACGGAGAACGTCCTGGTCACCGAGGAGCCGGACCTGGTGCGACCCTTCGTCCAGGAGTTCCACAGGTTGTGGGAGAGCAACGACCCGGCCAGGTGCTTCCGCCCCAAGCGACCAAAAGTCTGACGCCAGATCCTATTCGACGGAGCTTATCCACGGTCAAGGTGGAAGGTATGCACGTTGAGTCTGGCCAGGCTAGCTGGGCCACAAAAATCAATGACAGTGATGGCTTTTGACTCTTTTACTGTAGTTCAGAGGACTAAAAGTGACAATGTTGCTGTTCAAGATGATGGAAAGTTTCATGGTAGTTTTGTTTTAAATGTGTATCAGAAGAGTTGTCTAACTTACCAGACTGAGTCTGCGGTTAAGAGTTCCTGTTTGACTTACTTTTGTTTGGCACAGGCCTAAGATTTTTTTTATTCAAGTTCATGGTTTTTTATATTATGTCACAGGTGTACAATAATTCTAGTTGCTTTTTTTTAAAGATCTCCCCCAAGGTGATCAAATTCATCTTATTTCTTTATGGTCATAATGTAATGAATCTATTACATGATACTTTTTCTCCTTTAGGACTAAAGGGATTATCTAGGCTAGTTAGGAATTTGAGTTTACTACCTTTTATTAAAAACAACAAAAAACAATCATCCACAGCGCACCCAGTGTATGAGTGCTCTAAGTTGCAGTGGCTGTATAAATCCAGTGTATTGTTTGTTGCGTGCTACTGCTCTCAGGGACGAGGTTTTGCCCAGCACCAATAAAAACCCTCTTTCACACTGCAGTTTTGGCAGGTCTGTTGCATCACTGCCCCGCAGCTGCAGTTTTTTCTGTCTCTTGCACCAACATGATTTGCTTTGACTCAGGCGTTACAGCACAACAACTTGCTGGTATTCTCAAAGCTTAACAATGCCACCCTTTGAGCTTTACAAAACAAAACAAGCAGAGCTGATCTGTTTTGTACATGATTAATGTGCCTGGGTGCAGGACTCCTCTGCATTGCTCCCAGTCAGGATGACGCTTGCTGATAAAGGCCAGGACCACTTGGGTTTAGTCGAGACTTGTTGTATTTCATCCATTTGCATCTCGTAGTTCAGCGTATGAAATGGGAATGTTAGACTTCAGGAATCAGCTGCTGTATTTCATCCACGGTGTGAAAGTGATCAATTCAGCTGGGAGTCATGAGTTTTTGATGCGTTACTAGTGCGTAATGCCTGCGCCGTTCAACACATATTACAGCAGGGCCAGAAGTTTAGTATTGGAACGGCATTAAGCGCGACAGAATAATACCGGAAGTGCGGTGATTGGACCTTCAAATTAAAAGTTTGGCAGGACAAACGCGCATGCAAAATGAGTCAATGTAGTTCCATACTGGTTTCAAACTATTTTCATGAGTCACCTGGTTGATTTTGTTGTAATATGAAATGCTTTCAATAATTGATGAATTGTTTAGATAATTTGTCTTACAATATTGCCTAACATTTGATGTTTCCATCTATTTAAGTAGAAATATTTGCTAAGTGTCTTTTGTTTATATTATTATGACTATATTATCTATGTCTTTTTGGGGGACAAATGGTCGGTTAAAACCAGCCATTTGAAAATGTCACCATGGAGCATTTCTCACTAGTTAGTATTCTGAACAATTACTCCATCTAAACAAACAAAACATTAATGGGTTAGCAAAACAACTACTGGTCACAGCTCTACATACTACCTTTGCTGAGTGTAGTTACTATAATCTATAGTAACTCTATGGTACTACTCTATAGTATGAACACTTGACATGATCACAGAGGAGGATGAAAAGCAACAGTCATAGACTGTATGTAGTACCCAACATTGCAATGTTAATGCACAAAACAAACAAACAATGACAGCGCACATCTGCTCCGAAGTTGCTTTAACTAATAACTCGCAAAACGTTAAGAGAAAGAAAAGTAGTGGTTTTATTTTGACAGTCTCTACCGGAAGTTCCATTTATATAACCACGGCTGACTTGACTGTGGATACACCGGTGGTGTCCCAGTGGCAGGCACATGCACAGCCTGGAGATCCGGGAGCGGACCGCCTGAAGTGGAGCGGCCGACGGCAGCGCACGCCCATCGGCTTACAGGTAGAGGTGGAAGACCGCGGGACGGACGGAGGAGACGGACGCATACACGGCAACCAAGGTGAGTTTAACGTTCACACGGTAGTCCGTGACGGCAGAGGGTTTGTTTTTGATGGCACGAGTTCGGAGTTCAGCTACTGTATGGTGGGGCAGTTTAGGCAAATTAGTCTAACTAGTCAGTTGGCTAGCGTCACTCAACTTAACGTACATCTCGGGGAATTTTGTTTTATCTTTGTGTTTGCAGTACATCAGGGCTGGTTTGTATATAAATCATTGGATTGATTCCAAGTGTCAAGTGCATGACCCCATGTGTCCTCGCGCGAACAGTATCCTGGTCTTGCGAAGTGCACACACCTATTTCCATGAACTACTTCACCCCAGATGTCAACAGGTGTGAAGTGACATGTTGCTTCCACTGCGAGATGAACACCCAGCGTTACACACACGGCAGTGTTGCCTGTTCTCATACTAACGCGTGGAGCATCACCGTTCTGCTGAGTGGGTACAGCAGCAGGCCGCCAAGTCCCCTCTTTATGGTCTTGGAAGTGGTAATGCTGAGCTGGTCTCCAGAGAGATCTCAGCAATCAGGGAGGAGTACAGGACTCAGCTCTGCCTCTCTGAAAGAGGAGGATGTGTGGATGAATGGATGGGTCAGCCAGCCTCCTTATGATGCAGAAAGATGGGAGGAAGGAGAGTGTGGAGTGGATGGATGATGACAGCAGGGATGCATAGATGGATGAAAATGAGAGAGAGAAGATAAATATGGGCGTGTGTTTAAATGGGTCGATGGATGGTCAGATGGATGATGGATGAGATGCACAGGGAGGGGATGAGTCTATTGCCCCCCCCCCCCCCACCGCTCAGCATCCACCGACCCCAGAAGTGTATGCAGTGCGAGGCCGCGTTGACGGGTGGATGCAGAGAGTGAGCAGCAGGTGACGGATAGAGAAGAGAAACAGTGGAAGGATCTCGCCCCGGTTCATAGCACAGGGATGAGAGGGATGGATGGGGGGGGGGGGGGGGGTTTCTCTTTTTAAAAAACAACACCTCCATTTAACAACATCAGCATCTGCTCAGCTATCAGAGTGGATGAATTTCAGGCACGTGAGGGTGAATCCTCAAATAGCTGAGATTCCTCACTGACATTCAAACACACGAGTACTCTGTTACCACATCAAACCCCCCCTCCCCCCCTCGCCAATGTAGGCAGTTTATCAGCTGAGCACATAGTTGACATACTTGTTCTTTAATACGCCGGTATATAAAGGAAACCCTGGATGTTGCACTAGTCCCATGTCTTGCTCACTTTTTCAGTTGCCATTAGTTAACGTGACCAAATTCCTCACATTCACGTTCCCTCCACAATAATCTCTGTCAAACTCTTTTTACATGCTTCTTATTTTCCATTTGGGCTACAACTGATTGATTATTTTGTCCATGAAGTATCAGAATCCAGTGGAATAATGTCCATCACGGTCTCCAAAAGCCCGAGTTCATGTCATGAAATCACTCACTTTGTTTCGCCGTAGTCCAAAATGCAAAGATATTCAATCAACAGTCTCGTAGACAAAAGAAATTACTTCAAAGTGTTAATCATTTACATAATAAAAAGATAATAAAGAGGAAAAATAACCAAATATTTGCATAATATTGTACTGTTTTTGACTAATACATTATCAATTAATAAAAATAAAATAAAACTATTTGGGTACAGAAATAATCAGGCTATAGTCATTAATCCTGGCTTTAGGAATTTACTTAAGCCGAACCTGTAATCACTTCTTTGTGCTGACGTCTCCTGTTTCTACGTGGGATTTCGCTTCTATTTTTGATAAACGATTATTTTCATCACCAGTTGATTATGTTTGCTGTTTAATGGATGAAGTGTACATAATGCCAGGAATTTATTTTTTCATTTTCTTGTTGTGTTCGACCAGCAGTCCAAAACCAAAAGACATTCAATTTACAATGATGTCAAACTGAGAAAAGCAACCAATCGTCACATACTGAGAGCAAAGAATTGTGGGATATTTAATTTATGAATGAGTTTCACAGTGTGTTCATACAGTCGGGAGTGTGACACACCGTTCTTCTACGTCCTCTGATAGATGGCTCTAGCCAGAGATCCAGGGGAGCAGAGAGACGCAGCCGACCAAAACTTTGACTACATGTTCAAGCTGCTGATCATCGGCAACAGCAGCGCGGGGAAGACCTCCTTCCTGTTCCGCTTCGCAGACGACTCCTTCACCTCGGCCTTTGTCAGCACAGTGGGCATCGACTTCAAGGTCAAGACCATCTACAGGAGCGACAAGCGGGTCAAACTTCAGATCTGGGTTCGTTGGGGAAATCTCTCACATGTGCTGTAAACACAAGTCGTTTGTAAAAGACCAAGCTATGTGACTTTATTGTAGTTTAAAGCAACATTTTGAGATGTAGAATAACAGGATTTTTCTTTATCTTTTTTGACCTTTCTTAAGTGGTTTGTACTCGTTTAGCTTGCCAACTTATCCTGGCATGAAAAAGCTAATTAAAAATCCCTTAATCTCCTTCACCTTCCTGCTTTCAAACTGTTTACCGTCACGCGCTGATAGTGTGGTTTCTCCTCTGCAGCAGGAGGAAAGCGTGAAAGCCTGGCAGATAAGGCCAGAACACACTGATAGATGTTTGCTCAGTGCAGAGGCAGACACGTAAAAAGCTGGCACACTGTGTTTCAGTTCGGCCAGGTTTAACTCTAAATCAACCCGGCACATAAAAAGTTTGAACAACTCTGATATTATAGACTATGTGCTGCTACTTGTGGTGGTTGCAGTTGCCCGGAAAAGTTCATGTTCGTCACCTGGTTTGGCTCTCTTTGAATACCCTTAAGGCTAATTTGCACCTTTAGCAGTTAGCCCGTGGCTAGCTCTATTGAACCAAAGCTATATATCTGCAAACAGACTCTTTTAGGACGAATATTTTTGCGTCAAAGATGTTAGTGTTTGCAAGTCTTTACTGTGTATTTGACTATGTTCATGTCCCTTCAGACATTTTCTGGATTAATAATAGAAGAATAGAAAACATCATGACACACAAAAATCCTCCATTTAAACCCAAATTCATTTAGAATTACCCATCTTTCCCATTCATTACAAGGAATAAAAAACTATATAATGTGTGTGTGTGTGTGTGTGTGTG